GCCATATTTCCAACAATCATTATCATCGACTATCACCTGCCTCAACATTGGTAAAAATAAGTCACAATAGAGTTAATTAATGTAATCGTGTTTGTGAAATACAGCCTTTAGCGGACAGGTGCTAGTGTGCTCTCCCCCAAACACATGTTTTTTTGCACGTGTCCTCCTACTTTCACCATGGATCTAGATTCCTGTTCTCTATTTCTGAGCAATCACAAGCCTTTCCTGAGTCGCTCCAGCTAAGTGGTGATGGCGTCTGCTAGATTCCCATTGGCTGAGAGGCCAAAATGTGAACACTTCTCGCTTGGCATCGCCGAGAGCGTTTTTTTTCCCATCTAGTGACACTCGTATACTCTTGGATTTTACCCTCAGTAAGTATTGATTTTTGTGTCTAGTGCATAAATGAATAGTTTAGGCATATTTAGTTATACATATAAAGCCTGTGTGAAGCATATGAGTGCATTATGCAATTGAAAAAAGTGCAGCACGAAAAGGCATGAGTACACTCAGCACTGCCCGTTTAGGCCCAAATTCAAATTTCAGTAAATAAGTATTTATAAAAAAAATTCTAATGCATATATGAATTCTGTAGTGGTCTGGATGTGTACAGAGCGTTTTTATTGTCCTTCCAGATCAATGAGAAATTGTTTTATGGTGAGCCCTCTAAACGTAAGTCCAAATATGTCTGCATTTTGAAGGAAAGTGATTCAGATCCAGAGCCAGATGACATGGAATTGCTTGACAGTGGTGATGAATACTTGCCACCGGGTGCAGAGGTGTCAAGTGATGAAGAGGAGGAAGTTAGGCTATCCAAAAAGCCTAAATTAGCCCACTGAATGCCAAGATGTTTACAAGCAAGCATTGTAGCTCAAAGGGAAATCCTGTCACATCCTCATTTTCCTGTCATAGGCAAAGTAAATCTATGTATCAAGAATGAAAGAAATTGCTTTATAGCCTTTCACTGTAACACTTAGTGATCTAGAATGATTGTTCTTTCTCAGGAAATTCAAGAATATGGGACTTGAATGCTTTATCCCTCTGCAATGTGTTCATCTTGCTCTTTGGTTCATTTACATATATTTTTTTATACTTACAAAATGTTTGGAAACAAGTTCCATTTATGTTTTTGACATTGTCTATTTGTATAATAAATTAGAAAAATAGTTATTTGGTGTTTTACAAACAATTACAACTTTGCAACATTTAAAATTTTACTTACTTTATCGGGAAGGGGCTATTACAGTCTGTCTTCGCATATTAACAATTGCTCGAAAGCTACCTATCACAATTCCAGTTACATGGGCTCATTTCCCTTTAAGAAACTCTATCCACACTAGGGAATTCATTTCGAAATTCGAATTTTTCCTATAAGTGTCCAATTAAGGGTAAATTAATGACCCAAGTGCTGTTGATAGTATTCCAATCAACTATTTTTATAAGTATGCCAGGGATTTTTTTTCGTGTCTGACTTCTGCACTCAAAGTGTGATTAATTGATCCAAGTTTTTAATGTAATTAATTTATTCATCAATAGGGTCATAAAGCACTTTGGGAGAAGGGCAAAAAGATTCGATTAATGGAAACGAAGAGTTCCAATTCCTTGGACCAAGAGCCTTTCCCCACCGTCAAAAATCTTCTTTGCAGGGTTATTTTTTCAGAGCTTATTATAGCGTATATAACATGTTCACCATAAATTAATATATAAAAACAGGGATTATTCTCTCATGTATATACACTGAGATTAACGTCACTCAGTGTACATATACTGAGATGAACATCTCTCAGTGTACATACACTGAGAGATGAGCACCTCTCAGTGTACATACACTGAGAGATGAACACCTATCAGTGTACATACACTGAGATGAACATCTCTCAGTGTACATACACTGAGAGATGAACACCTCTCAGTGCACATACACAGAGAGATGAACACCTATCAGTGTACATACACTGAGATGAACATCTCTCAGTGTACATACACCGAGATGAACACCTCTCAGTGCACATACACTGAGATGAACACCTCTCAGTGTACATACACTAAGAGATGAACACCTCTCAGTGTACATACACTGAGATGAACATCTCTCAGTGTATATACACTGAGATGAACACCTCTCAGTGTACATACACTGAGAGATGAACACCTCTCAGTGCACATACACTGAGATGAACATCTCTCAGTGTACATACACTGAGATGAACACCTCTCAGTATGGTATAAACCTTGGTAATAAATACCGACAAGTTGGTTTAGAAAGACACGTAAGCAAACACTATGACATATTTATTAGAAAATGTTTCGGTCCTGGGACCTTGATCAAGGTCCCAGGACCGAAACGTTTTCTAATAAATATGTCATAGTGTTTGCTTACGTGTCTTTCTAAACCAACTTCTCAGTCTATATACACTGAGATGAACACCTCTCAGTGTACATACACTAAGATGAACACTTCTCAGTGTACATACACTGAGATGAGCAAATCTCAGTGCACATACACTGAGATGAACGCCTCTCAGTGCTCATACACTGAGATGAACATCTCTCACTTTACATACACTGAGATGAACACCTCTCAGTATACATACACTGAGATGAACATCTCTCACTTTACATACACTGAGATGAACACCTCTCAGTATACATACACTGAGATGAACAACTCTCAGTGTACATACACTGAGATGAACACCTCTCAGTGTACATACACTTATATGAACACCGCTCAGTGTATATACACTGAGACGAGCTCCTCTCAGTGTACATACACTGAGATGAACACCTCTCAGCGTACATACACTGGGAGAGATAAACACCTCTCAGTGTACATACACTGAGATGAATATCTCTCGGTATTCATACACTTAGATGAACACCTATCAGTGTTCATACACTGAGATGAACGCCTCTCAGTGTACATACTCTGAGATGAACACCTCTCAGTGTACATACACTGAGACGAGCACCTCTCAGCGTACATACACTGAGATGCACCCTTTCAGTATACATCCAATAAGATGAACACCTCTCAGCGTACATACACTGAGATGAACACCTCTCTGTGTACACTGAGATGAACACCTCACAGCGTACATACACTGAGATGAACACCTCTCAGCGTACATACACTGAGATGAATACCTCTCAGCGTGCATACACTGAGATGAACACCTCTCAGCGTACATACACTGAGATGAACACCTCTCCGTGTGCATTGAGATGAACATCTCTCAGTATACATACACTGAGATGAACACCTCTCAGCGTACATACACTAAGATGAACACCTCTCTGTGTGCAATGAGATGAACACCTTTCAGTATACATACACTGAGATGAACACCTCTCAGTGTACATACACTGAGATGAATACCTCTCAGCGTACATACACTGAGATGCACACCTTTCAGTATACATACACTGAGATGAACACCTCTCAGCGTACATACACTGGAAGAGATGAACACCTCTCACTGTACATGCACTGAGATGAACATCTCTCATTATACATACACTTAGATGAACACCTCTCAATGTACATACACCGAGATGAACACCTCTCAGTATACATACACTGATATAAACACCTCTCAGTATACATACACTGAGATGAACACCTCTCAGTATACATACACTGAGGTGAACACCTCTCACTGTACATACACTGGGAGAGATGAACACCTCTCAGTGTACATACACTGAGATGAACACCTCTCTGTATACATACACTGAGATGAACACCTCTGAGTGTACATACACTGAGATGAACACCTCTCAGCGTACTTACACTGAGATGAACACCTCTCAGCGTACATACACTGAGATGAACACCTCTCTGTGTACATTGAGATGAACACCTCTCAGTATACATACACTGAGATGAACACTTCTCAATGTACATACACTGAGACGAGCACCTCTCAGTATACATACACTGAGATGAACACTTCTCAGAGTACATACACTGAGATGCACACCTTTTAGTATACATACACTGAGATGAACACCTCTCAGTGTACATACACTGGGAGAGATGAACACTTCTCAGTGTACATACACTGAGATGAACACCTGTCAGTATACATACACTTAGATGAACACCTCTCAGTCTACATACGCTGAGATGAACACTTCTCAGTATACATGCACTGAGATGAACACCTCTCAGCGTACCCACACTGAGATGAACACCTCTCAGTGTACATACACTGGGAGAGATGAACACCTCTCAGTGTACATACACTGAGATGAACACCTCTCAGTATACATACACTGAGATGAACACCTCTCAGTGCACTTACACTGAGATGAATACCTCTCAGTATACATACGCTGAGATGAACACCTCTCACTGTACATACACTGAGATGAACACCTCTCAGTATACATACACTGAGATGAAAACCTCTCAGTATACATACACTGAGATGAACACCTCTCAGCGTTCGTACACTGAGATGAACACCTCTCAGTATACATACACTGAGATAAACACCTCTCAGCGTACATACACTGAGATGAACACCTCTCAGTATACATACACTGAGATGAACACCTCTCAGTATACATACACTGAGATAAACACCTCTCAGCGTACATACACTGAGATGAACACCTCTCAGTATACATACACTGAGATGAACACCTCTCAGCGTACGTACACTGAGATGAACACCTCTCAGTATACATACACTGAGATGAAAACCTCTCAGTATACATACACTGAGATGAACACCTCTCAGCGTACGTACACTGAGATGAACACCTCTCAGTATACATACACTGAGATGAACACCTCTCAGCGTTCGTACACTGAGATGAACACCTCTCAGTATACATACACTGAGATAAACACCTCTCAGTATACATGCACTGAGATGACCACCTCTCAGAGATACATACCCTGGGTTTAGATACAATGTTCACATAAATATAGTCCATATAAGTTTCATTGCTTTTGTTTTTCAGATGCGGCTGTGGCATCACATTAGCATGTTGCCCGTCATGCTGCCCGTCATGCTGCCCGTCATGCTGGTAGTGGGCGCCGCCGTGCCCCAGCTGCCAAGTGTTGTCAACGTTTCTGACTTTGCAAAGAAGTTGTCAAATTTTGATTTTACGTCGTTGTTGTACGGCGGCAGCATCAGTGGCACGTTGTCAGCGGCTGGTCTTGGCATCTTCGAGGTAAGCTGATGGCACTGATACCTTATACACCAAACACAGTGCATATGTTATATATGATCTCCCGTGGGGATCATACAGTGAGGATATGTCCAATTCCTTGGATCAATAGCCCTTCACCAGTTTCAAGGTGCTACTCTTGAAGGTCCTCGGGCCTTTGCTGTGGGACTCACCACAGCGGCCACTGAGTGAGTTGTCATATTCGACATCTCAAGAATAATCATAATGAGGCGATTTATAATTAAAATTAATTACTCTCATGGTGGTTAATAATCTTAAGGATTAATGACATCAATTTAAAACGTTATTACTTTACTATCTAATTTTTTTAGATTTTATCTATGTTTTTTAGTTCAGTGTTTTATAATTAAGATTTAATTTTTTACTTGACAGGCTGGTGTTCTGACTGGGTTTATCACCAGCTATAATAGGATTCAGCGTAATGCCTATAAGAAAGATAGGAAAAAGAGAAAGGAAAAAATAAAGGAGCTCAAGAAGGAAACAGAGATGCTCTTAAAAGTGGAAGAAGCTAGGCAACAAAGTGAAAATAACAGAAAGACTGACTCTGTACATGAAGGAGACTATGAGGATTATAACACTGGATACCATGTGGCACCAGCTCCATCTCATCGTTTATCTCAATCCTCAACACAAGGACACTACCACATGTTGTCCTACTCTGCTTACGACCCTCACACACAAACAAGACACAAACGATCTACCATAAAAGGTTTGCAGGAGGTGGAGGTGGCGCAGAAGATGCTAGTGTCTGCAGTCATTCACCTGGACACTGACGGCTGCTTGTTAAAACTCTTGTGTCACCTACATAACAAGCGGCCAGGTGATCGCACTCTACAGGAAAATATCATCCTCCAGTTTTTATCTAACAGCCCGGAAATGTTATCCTCCTACAAGGCCGCCTTAATTAATGCTACGAAGGTCGGTGGTCAGAGCACATGTAACGAGGTGTTTCCCAAGTGTGTCCTGAGGGACCAGGAGCTGAGTAGTCTGCTGCAACAGACATGGGGCTGTGGTAGCATCCCTCTGTAACTGGTGTTGCAGACTTGTTGCTGCAGCAGCTTCCCTCTCTAACGGCTGAGTGCCTAATAGTTTAATAGTTAATGTATTTACTAATTGAAATTAAGAAATATTCACAGCATGAGTGTTTTTACTCACTCTTTAATTTAGTTCATGACACTTATAGTAGTGTAGAACTCTTCAATATCTCTTTAAGTGTATACAAATTCTGTGACACAGCATTTGTGAGGTGACAAAAAAATAAATCTGTAAAAATTTGATTTTAATATAATACATATAATATAATATAATATACATATAATACACATCAGCGTGTTCGATAGGGGTGAATGGAGACGAATGGTACTTGGTACCTGACGATCTGTTGGAGTGTGAGCAGGGTAATATTTAGTGAAGGGATTCAGGGAAACCGGTTATTTTTATATAACCGGACTTGAGTCTTGGAAATGGGAAGTACAATGCTTGCACTCTAAAGGAGGGGTTTTGGGATATTGGCAGTTTGGAGGGATATGTTGTGTATCTTTATATGTATATGCTTCTAAACTGTTGTGTTCTGAGCACCCTGCAAAAACAGTGATTATGTGTGAGTGAGGTGAAAGTGTTGAATGATGATGAAAGTATTTTCTTTTTTGGGATTTACTTTCTTTTTGGGTCACCCTGCCTCGGTGGGAGACGGCCGACTTGTTGAAAAAAAAGGAATATTATTTTATATATATATATATATATATATATATATTATATATATATATATATATATATATATATATATATGTATATACATATATATTATATATATATTTTATATATATATATATATATATATATATATATATATATATATATATATATTATATAATATATATATATATTATGCAAATATATGCAATAAGATCACAGTACAGGTAATATCAAAATTTGCAAAACAACCACTGCGAAAGCATAGTGAAATTCCAAGTGCTTTTGTGACTTCTCACATTATTAAGGAACTACAAAGACACTATATCAAAGGAAGGCATATAAAGGGTTGAGACCACACCTCACCATCACATCCCTCAACAAAGTAACACCTGACGTGCGGCGACACCCGACTCATAAGAAAGGAGGAACACTGCAGCAGGCCCGTTGGCCCAACTAGGCAGGTCCTTCACGACCAATTAGAGATTTTAGCAATGCAGGGGATGAGATGAAAAGCTCTAAGCCTCCCGCCTGAAAGCTGGCTGTCTTGGATCAACATCTAGCCTGAGCTGGGCGCCAAGGTATTGTCCAGTGTGGTGAGGATGGTAAAGCACTGTGTACCTTGTTCCTTCCAAGGTTCGTAAGTTCGAGTCTCCTTCGGCCAGAGATCAGAGTTAGTGTATATTTCGCCTGCTCTTGCGAATTCCTTGTATATATATATGTATATATATATATAATTATATATATATATATATATATATTATATTATTATATATATATTATATATATATATATATATTATATATATATATATATATATATATGTCGTGCCGAATAGGCAGAACTTGCGATCTTGGCTTAAATAGCAACGCTCATCTTGCCATATAGGACAAGTGAAAATTTGTGTATGCAATAATTTCGCCAAAATCATTCTGAACCTAACGAAAAAAAAATGTTTCACTGTGTTTGCTTAGTATTAAATTACTGTAAACAAATCTAAAATATATTTAGTTGGGTTAGGCTAAAATAAATTGCGCTTGTTATAATAAGGTTAGGTAAGTTTTCTAAGTTCCTCTTGGTGCTAGAATGAGATGGCATCAGACATGGCATATGTGCAAGGTGCCAGAAAGATGAAGGCAAGATATTAAAGCAGTAGTAGTAGAGGCATAAGAATTCTACACATCGATATTAAATATTTAGTTATGACCTAGCGAACACAACATTAGTACTATGACAACTGTCTCCAACATGCCGTCAGGCTTCATATAGTATCATTATACAAGATTTTAATATGGGGATTTTTCATCACATGAAGAAAATGGGGAAGCAGGAAAAAGAGCAAACCTTCCTATTTCCAGAGGCTGATCCAGTACCCCTCAGGTAAATGCTGGTTTATCTATGAGGTTGTTTGAAGGACTGGAACCCAGATTACTTAAGGCCAGTTTCTGCTAATCGTCAATGGGGTGGTTCCCTAAACTACTCAACCATCTGATTCCATATAAGTCTGGGACGAAGGCTTTTACACTACCTCATGAGCCTCAAACCTGTGACAGTCTTGTCTTGCTTGGTTAATTTTGTTACGTCCCACAAATCATGCAGCCTCATGACAGATATTTAGAATGCTCTGATTTCACAGGTGGGGCTCAGAGATAAATAAAAAAATGGAAGTATTTTTATATTAATTTTCAACTATGTAAATGACAGTTTACCAATTTTTAAATAAATTTTATTCAATTGTATTTAAAAAAATACAAATCAGATATTTGTTCTTTTAGGATTGTAGAAAATCTGAAACAGAATATATTATTATAATTATAATCACAAGGAAGCGCTGAACCCGTAGAATTATACAGCGCATGTGCGGGATAGAAGGTATTCTGGCTCAATTCAGGGAAATGGAGCACAGATCCAATTCCCTAGATCAAAAGCCCCTCACCAGCGTCAAGAAACCTCCCTTGAGAGGGAAAACACAATATAAATGAGAAAAAAAATATCGCATTTAGGGCATTTTTAAATTTAATAAGGAGAGAATTGCTTATTTTCAGGATATTTGTCCCCCAGATAATAAACAAATATCTCTACAGTTGAGTATCAAAGCTGGTGTTTCTTAATGGTTGGTTTAAATTAGATTTTGGCTGCGCATATCTTAATTTGTCATTTTTATTGAAGGTATTGGGTTACTAATTTCCATATAATAACTGGGGTATGCTGCTTGTGGTTCGTCTCAAATCTTCAGCGCTGATATTTAAGCGCAATATAACCTGCACTCTGCACTATTTTAGCTGCACGCTTTGAAAAACAAGTCATGGGGTTATATGATACCTGGATACCTTTCTTGGAAGGTAAGGCCACCAAAATACTGTATATCTGGAGGTGGTAGATCCCCGGCCACCTCGAGTGTGAGCTGCGAGTGGTAGTTCACTGGCCACCTTGAGCGTGAGCTGCCTGTACATCAGTGATGACTGGGTGTTGCTGGAGGACATCCACAGATTGTATTATCGGCCGGTCCTTGGCACCCTGCCGCCTGAGCTCATATATATACAGGAAGAGCATCCAGTTGAATAATCACAGACTTCCTCTCATCCATGGCGTTTCTCCAGCCACACGCACACACACAACAGAGCACATATGCACACGCACACGGACCTGCAAACGCCATCACGCGAACGTGCACTTAAGTACATATATTGTCATAGCACACCCACATCCATACGTTCTATCGCACACCAGTACATGCTTGTGACATAATCACGGGTGTATCTCTACTCTGCAACGGTGGCGTCGTCACTCTGAAGGTAACTGCTTTAGTTTTTTAGAAGATGCTCTTAGGAATGGGAAGAGAGGGGGAAGAGGAGAGAGAGAGAGAGAGAGGGATATCCAGGATGAATTGTGTTGAATCACTGAGTATTACCAGTACCTTCGAGAAGGTATGGCATCAAGGACTCTTGTCAACATAGGAGTCTCTGGCTCTGTACTGCGTCTTAGCGTCTAGAAGCCACTTAGGAAGTGTGCTTGGTTCAATCTCATGCAATGTTTACTTTAGTGACCTACTTCATCTCACCCAAGAATACCATGACAATGACAATGACTGTACCCTATCATTTACTTATGCAGGAGAGGAGATGTCTCCTGCTCCCAGGCATATTAATGACCAGCTTACCTGTGTTAACCTGTGTTAATCCAATAATGGTTTATTATTCCGACAAGTAGATGAGGAAGACGAATCTATAACAGTTGGATATCTTTATTTTAGAAATGTTTCCCTTACACAGGAGGCTTTTTTAGCCGAATACAATGGAGAATAATACGAATACTGCAGAAATAGTTGAGGGGTCAAGATAATGTAGTCTGACGTGGTCAGTCCCTCAGCCTGGAGAGACGTTCAGCTTCATAGGCTTGAATAAACTTTGGGACTCTGAAGATGAACATTTCTCCAGGCTGAGGGATTGACCAGCTTAAATTACTCCTTCAAGGCTTACAGACTGATAATGTCATCTTTACCTCTCCACTGCTTCTGCTGTATCCATAATTCAACTTTATATACGACTGAAGGAGCTTACTGTTACTCGAAACGTTAATGAAATAAAGGTACTTAACTATTGCACATGACTTACTTATCTATAGCAACCTTGGAAAAATGATGGCAGGTTACATTTACTTTTGAGAAAAAGCAAAGGAGGATAATCTGTAGACTAAGTAGTGATGTCTTGGAGCCCAAGGATGAGGTTGATATTCTAGAAGTGAAATCTGAAAACAAATTGTCTATTAAGAATCACGTGGTAAATCTTCTAAGCAGTGCAGCCAATGAGCTAATAGCACTAAAGTGTATCTCCCACCTGCTTGACAGCAAAGACTGCAAAGCTTTGTTCTGCTTTCTTGGAATGCCGCCCCACCCAACCCGCCTCATTTGCGAATACTTGACAAAACAGAGAACCAAGCAAGGCGACTTGTATCTCTTCCCGGCCTAGTTTCATTGAATCTGTCATCTCAGCAGAGTCTGCAACAACAGAGAGATGTAGGTGTCAGAGGGAAGGCAGTTTTTACTCCACAAAACGGGCAACATACAGTGTTCATACTGGCTGTACCCTTGTCAAGAACACCACTTCATCTACGATCATTCCATCCTAGAATGACTGGGGTCTGGAACACGTTCTTAGAAGAGCTTTCAAACATTTACAAAATAAAGTGACCAAATGAAATCTTCGGTCAATAGCTGGCTACTACTTTATCATGTTCCATATTATAGGAAGCACATAAATATATGCAAATAAACATACATACACACATATACGTGTGTTTATGAATGTGTGGGTTTATGTATGTATTTCTTTGCAAATGTAGTACATATTTGTGTATGCATGTATGTTCCTACACTTGCGTATGTAAATGTGCATATACATATATGTGTGTGAGAATATATGCATATTCCTGAGTGTATATACTGTTGTGTGTATGTATGCATGTATATATGTATGAGCATATGTACAAGGTATACATGTTTACATTTATTGATGTACACCTGTATATATATCTGTGTGTATATGCATACATGGGTATATGTATGATGTATATGTTTAAATTTATGTATGTACACTTTTGTATATGTAGGTGTATGTGGAGATGTGTGTGTTCATATGCATGTATCGCTTGTATATATATGTATATATATATATATATATATATATATATATATATATATATATATATATAATATATATATATATATA